AGCCAACATCCTTGGTGGTATTTAAAAGGTGTGTATATGGGGTACTGAGGGACATGATTTAGTGGTGGACTTAGTAGTGATGGGTTGACAGTTGGAGTTGATGATCTTAAAGGCCTTTTCCAATGAAACAGGTTCTATGATTCTAGTTTTCGTTCTTTAGATTTCATCAGGTTTGCATTGTCCCAAAGCTTCGAAGATGTCTATCTTGTATAACAGAGTATATTATGAGTGACTAGTATTTAATCCATCAAGATCACTCTCCTTGTAATGGCACAGCAGATGGCTGGGCAATACTACTTTTCACAAAAATGATTGCTAATCAGTCTATGTACGTGCTGCTCAATTCACCCACTCAGCTAAAGGTCAACAGCAGAGTGAACCATGGAATTTTAAGCTTTTTCTGAGCTTTCTGTCCAGCAATAGCATACACATTAAGAATCAAAACTACACCCACAGCAACATTTTGAATTTATAGAAAATATTTCATACCCTGTTGAAAATCGGCAGGCAGTAGGCATATTTTTGTCTTTTCACCTTATATGTTTCTCTTCCATTAGCTGTTACAACTTGCAGCAGTGTCCTTTTTTTAGCTATGAAAATTTTATCAATGGTTTGGGTAAATTTGTTTCTTGAATGTGCCTTTCCACTTGTTAGCATGTTCACTGATAGGAAATATACCTGGAACCTGTGTTCAGACAACTGATGTCTCCAAAACAAGCAGTCAAGACCAGAGGAAGCTGAAGTCTACTCTGTTCTACCAGTTACACCTCCATGAGCTTTGTCTCTCTCAGATGCTTTGGTTGCTGTCTCTGGCTGCAGTTTTTATTTGTTGTATAGCAGTTGACTGCGATATGAATTATGCCTTCTCAGTGAGCCTGTCTTGGTGTGATTGAGAATGGAGTTTGCATTGCATATTCTTATACACAGCGGCTGCAGATGGGAAAATAATGGTTGTGTAGATACCATATTTCTGTGTGCATCTTTGTATACTTGCCATCTGAAAGACCCGGTATTTTCTTGCGTTTAGTCGATGTTGCTCTTTTTATTTTTTTTTTTTTTAAATTGTATTCTGATTACATATAAACATTACTCTTTCTGCCTGTGAACCTTTATATTTTAAAGTATTTTTTTCAGGCTTCTTTTTTCCTCTTAACTAATGCACTCCATAGAAGTTTCTGGTGTTCCTAGCCTCCATCTGCCATTCTTCCAGATGAAACATGCTACTTTAAGTGAAAAACTCCTAAATTCACATGCAGGAGTAGCTGCAGTATGCAGAAGCTGGCTGAACTAAACTTCTAGGCATTTAGGAATGTAGGAGTAGTCTGCTGCTGGCTTCCTTTCCTTTTTCAAGATCATGGTTTTGTTTCATAAATCCTACTGTTCTGTTTCATTAACTTTTTACCATATTTATTTTTCAGCCCGATTTTAGCAAACTGACATGTGTTGCTTTGGTTGTGTCTGTAGTATTCTGGGCAACTTCCTTCTTGGAGATTAGAAACATCCTGAGAGCTGAATTTTCCTTTTGTAAAGAAGTTCTACTGCTGCCGTGCAGAGACCAGCAGCATTAGTCCCTCACCAGTCTGGTGACAGGCAGGGTTACAGTTTTGTGGGTGTTATTGACCAGTTACAAGTTTATGAATGTTGTTCACCTGTTCAAGCCATATTTGGCTTATAGGTTTTTCAGTCTCTGTGCAAAGTTTATTGATAATACTTTGGTTATGCAGTTGCCTTATTGTCAGATGGTACCAGTGGGGAAGATTTTAAACTTCCAAGGGAACATCTTTATTCTTATACCATGCAGGTATTTTCCTTTTTTTTTTTTTTAGTAACGCAGATACTGCTCACATTCCCAGTTGTGAACAGTGGATCGTAGGTTACTATTAAGAAGGTATATTTGTGCATTTATACTTATGTAATGCTAGAATAAGTTGCTGGACTGATAGCAAAACACAATGAAAATTGTCTATTAGCTGAAGGAAAAAGAAGAGATGTAACAAGTTTATATGTCCCTATTAACTCTTAATAGCTGTAGAGACAGAGATACCTTAACACTGAGTTAGTGTGGATCCATTCTACCTGAATGAAAATGTCTGAGGTGAGAGTAGAACCACTTAAGTCTCTATACATAACTGAAGAAGAGATATAGGCTCTTATTGGGAATGATTCAGATCTTAAATAACCTTAATTGGCTTCTGGAAAAGGCCAGATCGTGCTTTTTCATTTTTTACATAGAGAACTAGTGGTGATTGTATGACTCAGTGGTCAATGAGAGAAATATAAGCTCTTGCTCCTACATAAATAAATCCTCCTCCTGCCAGGATTATAGGCTGCTCTAGCAGGAGCTTTCAAATAATTTGTTCTCCAATTGTCTCCATCTTTTTTTTCTGCTTCTTGTTCCACTTCTGCTTGATCCACCAAGATCACAGAGTTGTAATATAATTCAAGCTGTGAGGGACTTCAGGAGAATTCTAGACCAACCCCTTCCTCAAAGCAGGGTCAGCTGTAAGGTCAGACATATTGCCCAGGACTTTATCAGATCTTGAAATACTCCAAGGATGCAGATTGCACAGCCTCTCTGGGCAGCCTTTTCTGCTGCTTGGCTGAAGTCAGAACCATCCCTGGTTTAATTTATTACCATTGCATCTTTGGCTTTTTTTAAAAAAAAAATATTTTTTTTTTTTTTAATTGCCATGCAACTCCATAAAAATCTTGGCTTCTTCTTTTGGTAATCTCCTTTTACACATTGGTAAGGTGCTGCTAGGCACCCCCAAAACCTTCTGGTTTTCAGTATGAGCAAGCCCAGCTCCCCTAGCCTCTGCAGCCCAAACCATCTTGGTGACCCTCCACTAGACACAGTATGGTTTGTTGTCTTTCTTAGAGTGGACATATTATTCCAAACAGGACACAGTAGTTCAGATGTGGTCTAAATATTGCTGAGTAAAGTGGGATAAAGTAAACTCCTTGTGCTCTTGGAAAATATTACAGTTTAGAATCCAGGAAGAAAAGGAAACAAATCTGGAGTGTATTTAGTTTCTGCTAAATCTGAAGAGAATGCACTCTCATGTCTGTCAGAGCTCCCTGGCAAGCCCTGTCAACTTTATCTAAGAAATCCTTTCTCTAAGAAATGTTAGTGTGTTTCTTCCTTTGTTTCTCTCATTCCACGAAAATATGTAATACCTACAGAAATAAAGTTTTTGGAATCGGCAGTAAGCAGCATTGTGAAGAACAAAGAAAAGCATGATTAAATTAAAAGGTACACAAAGTGAACCAGAATGAAAAGAACCTCAGCAACTAACTACAGAAAGTGTTGATTCAAAATCTCTGATCCAAGGAATAATAGAATTTAGTGGCTTAAAAGAAATTAATAACAACAATATATGGGCTTGCATGAATTAGGATAAGGTTCAGATGAGGATTTGCAGACATCTCAAGCACAAGGAGCAAGGAAACTACCTTTCTTCTGCTAGAGAGACTTCTTGTAGGCTTGGAACGGGAAGAAGGTTTTTTCACGGGATTGTGGCATTTTATAGCAGGCCAGAGAGCTCACTGCCAGAGAGAGTATTTTGGATTTTCTTAGATAACATCTCTGCTGATTTTGCATACTTTATAGATTCATGCTAAATTCATATTTTAGGTCCAAGTTCTCTCTCTCTTCTTTTTTTTTAAGTCAGATCTTGCTGTTTCTTCTCCTTGTCTTTTATTTCTTCTTCTTTTCTACCTCCCCCTTACTACCTAGGTGTCCAGTGTGATCTTTTTATTATCTTTTTCCTCTTCTTATCACTGACGTTATCCTGCGGTAGTGTTGTCATCAACTATTGCCAGCTCCTGTAACGGGTGGCTTTGTCATATAGCTCAGAAACCCTTGTGCTCCTTTCCAGGGCTCATCTTTTACAATTAGGATGCTTCAGTGACTGTGGACTGATATTAACAAGTTATACTAAGCAGGAAATCTTTAATGTTGCAGCAGAAATTGCTGTGCAGCTATTTTAGAGATACGTGCTGGAGTGGTTAAGGTTGGTAAAGAAATATGGTAAAGAGATGGTAGGACTTAAATACTGCAACAAGAAAATTAATCTGACTAATGCTGTTCTCTTCCTACAACATTGTGTTCTTAGCCAAGTAATGAGAATACTGAGTAAGAGGCTTCAGGTACTGATACTGGACAATGATTCACTGAAAATGCAGTAGCACATATAAACTTGACTTGCATATTATGGTTTTGTTAAAGTGATTTGAATCCATCCTGTGTGTGTCCAGTTCTGAACTCGTCACTACAAGAGAGACAGGCACACACAAGAGGCAGTCCAACAGAGGGCCATGAAGTTGATTAAGGGTGTGGAGCATCTCTTCTATGAGAGAAGATGCTTTTCAGTTTGGAGAAGAGAAGGCTTGGGTGGAAGCTCATCTATATGTATAAATACCTGGTGGGAGGGTGTAAGGAGATGGAGCCAGGCTCTTTGCAGTGGTGCCCAGTGGCAGGACCAGAGTCAACAAACTGAAACACAGTAGGTTCCATTCTGTGGTAGTGTGATCTTTTGTTATTTTCCCAGTAATGAAAAACTTTTAAGGAAATATGTATGCTGTAATTCGGATAAAGATAGTGAGGAAGATTTCATGCAGTTGGAATCAACTATTTTATCATGTAATCTAAAACTGTTCTGAAAAGGAAAAGCAGGTTGCAGCATATGGGTAGTAAAAATGTTTTCAGCTCCAAAACAATTGAGTGAACATTGTGGTAGCTACCTGATAATGCTGGTATAAGAGTGGAACTGCAGCTACAAATGGGACACCTATTGGTAATTGATAAAGTGGAGTAAGGGTTTTTTTGTTGTTGTTGCATCCTTGTATTACATAGAAAAAGACAACACTTTCATGACAGGACCTTGACTGAGAGTCATGGTAATCTGCAGTAGATAAGGTGAACCTAAGCAAGAAAGCTGAACTGTTGAAAAGAAGTTATTTAATTCTTTAAATTTATCTTTCTTTTGTTCTTCAAACAGTGGAAGCTCTACATTTGGGAACACTGATGGCAGCACATGGCTATTTCTTTCCAATCTCAGACCATGTTCTAACACTAAAGGATGATGGCACCTTTTATCGATTCCAGGTAAGTTTTTTTAAATACATTCTTGACTTGCACAAATGGAGGCTTAAAGTCCTTACACAAAGATTCACAACAAATTTTAACCATACTTTATCTCTTATGTAACCTAGTAAATGGTGGCAATTCCCCTTAAAGTAAAAAAAAATATATTTTTTAAAAATTTTAAAATTAAGGGATTTTATATAGAGGATTTAGGGATTTTATATAGAAATTAAGTCAGCAAAGTGGTAAGATGGTAGTGACCATTGTGATTCCTGGAATAAGTGTGATAATGCTAACTGTGAATGTATCTACCCTGAAATAAATTAGTGTTTTTGAAATATAATAAAGAGAATGAAATTACCTTATTGACTTATTCCTAACATAGCAGTAACTTGGAAAGTGAGAAGTATTTTACCTATTAAGCCTATAGCTGATAAAAAAAAAATGGAGGTTAATATTTCTGTTCTTTTTTATGTGAGGATTTCCTTATTGATAAAAGCAGGATTGAAGTAATGTGTATTCTTCAAACGAGATGAAACACGTTTCTGCATTCACTGTGAGTCTCATTGCATACAACAAACATGCAGATGCTTCAGAACAAGCTAGAAGGTTTTATATGTATACCTATATCTACATGCATATTATTCAAATACCTATATAGTTGTATCTTATTATGTTAGGTTTCAAACTAAGGGTTTGGGAAGCAGGAAT